GGATTGGTTATACATATATCAGACCACTACACAGATGGATGGTATATTGTATTAGGAGGAGTTCGGACTTTATATATATATTATATGGTGCCGTGGTATGAGCTTGAGTCTCACAACCATGGTTAGGGCGCGTATATTGCCTATAATGGATAACTGGACATAGGTGTTGTTCCCTGGTAGGTCTAGGTACTCATGCCCACCTTAGGGTGCGTATTCGCATGTTGCCTTCTATTCAGGCTGAGATAGACCTACTGGACTAGCGAGCGTCCTATAGTGTGTACTATATACTTATATGGACTACTCTAGATATTGTTGAGTCTTCCTAGGATGTATCTGCGTATTGGATTACTGTTTGGATTATAGTAGATCAGGACTTGCATGTGGGCCTGACCCACTTCTTTATTTTTCAGGTGTTCGTCGGTTCCAGGGTTAGAGCTTGGACGTGTAGAGCAGATACAGATATTCATTCCTCCGACTATGTAGGAATCTCCTTTATGTTAGCTTTGGTCTTTATTTCTATTATTTTCAGTTCCGGTTTGAGAATCTTTAATAAGGGGTCCAATGGATGGATTCCCAAGTTGTAAACCTATGGGGTTTGGATTTAACGGATTTTAAATAATTATATTTTTTTAAGGATTTTTAATTAGCATTCTTTCAGCTTATTATTTTTAATTCTTATTTTATCTTGTATTTTGTGTTCGATTACATATTAATTGTTTGGTATCCCTCGGGTTTTGGGCCCAGGCCTGATCAACCCGTGTCTCGGATCTGAGGGGTATCACATACTATAAATCATAACTTTTGTTGGTATTTTGAAGGGAAACGAGACTATGTAAATGCTTAAGTTAAATGAGATGACGATAGTGGGCTAACTTGGAGAGGTTGTTGATGTTGTGGTATTGGGGAATGTATTTTTTTTTTTTTTTTTTTTTTTTTTTTTTTTTTTTTTTTTTGTATTGTGTGGTGGGGTAGGTTGGATAGGTCTTGAAAGGCCATTGCATTTTTTTATTTGAGTAGGTTGTTGTATGAGCATTTTTAGCAGATGTCATGCCGAATTTTTTTTAATTTTTTTTTTAAATGGTGTCAGTTTAGGGTTGTTACAAAATTGGTATCATAGCCTTGGTTCGAAAACTATTAGGACGACGGGTAGAAGCCTACCTAAGGTTGTCGGGGAAGTCATTTGTATTGTTATTTCATTATTTGCAAAAGTGTTTTGCTATCTGAAAAAGCATGCTTAACTGTTTACTTGTTTACGTGTTTATGTACTTATATGCTTATATTAATGTGTTTATTGCATAGTATTGCATGTGAAGTGTTAGTATAACATCCTTTTATGTTGAGTTGCTCACGGTTGGACCTTAGTGTTATCGTTATTGAACTGTTTTCTTTGTTTTATAGAACGAGGTCACGGCGTGAGGAACCCAGGGAAGTTGGCCTAGGCCAACAAGGGGTGATGTTTGCAAAAGCTCTAGCTCCAATTTGGCAGAGCCAGTTGATGAGGACACACTTCTTAGGGATTTGATTGCCCCAAGAGTTGTTCCTACAAGGAGGGATAATGTTGAAACACCCGTTGAAGAGGGTGAAAGTTCGGCAGAACTTGTATTGAACCGTTTGTTACAGAGAGCCCTAAGGGCTATAATTGCTACACATCCGCAGCCGATACCGCAACTGGTACCACAACCGGTACCACAACCAGTAGTTCAGGTAGAGGAGACGCCAGCGCAGAAACGTCTCACGATTATTAAAGGGTTTTCTTAGTTAATACCGGTAATGTTTGAAGGTGGTGCAGATCCCATGGTAGCGGATGACTACATAGATCAAGTAAAAACTCAATTGACCTCTATGGATGTGACGGATGATCACTTGAAAATCATCCTAGCCACTTACAAGTTTTCAAAGGATGCCAAGTTTTGGTGGAAGTCAGTCACAAATCAGTATAAGATTGAAGAGATGATTTGGGATAGGTTCAAGGAGTTGTTCTATGAGAAGTATTTCCCTGCTCTCAAGAGGTAGGAGTTAAAAGATCAGTTTATTGGCTTCATCCAAGGCAATATGTCGGTGACGGAGTACGAGAACAAGTTCACCTCACTCTCTCGCTTTGCTCCAGAGATGGTGAGTAATGAAATTGATAAGGTTCAGAAGTTTGTCGCCGGACTTAATTACAAGATGAGGCCTTTGTTAACGACACAGGGCATCAAGGTTTATTCTAAGGCAGTGGAAAAGCCATTGATGCTAGAGGCGGAGGCCAAAGATAAAGATGCAAGAAAGGAACAGTGGAAGCAAAAGAAAAATGTTGGGTCATCTTTAGAGGGACCTTCATGGAAAAGGAACAGGGGTGGTTCATCTCAATTTCAGGGGCAGCAATCTGCACGATCTGCTCATACCACTCCTTTGCCAGCTGGGTCTGATAGGAATGGAGTCGTTTATTTTCAGTGCCAGTAGCCTGAACGTTACAAATCCAATTGTCCTATGAGATTGACTTCAGTTTCTTCAGCTCTGAGGGCTTGTTATGGGTGTGGACAGCAGGGCCATTTGATTTGAGACTGTCCGAGTCAGGGAGCAGGCACCACTAGTGGCTGGGGCTCACGGCAAAGGCTGTCATAGTCGGTTACAGTTCAGTCAGGTTTCAGACCACCGCCACCACCACAGTCTGCCATGTCTTCTTAGGGTTCACGACCAGCTAGGAGGGATATTCCTACTGTGTCGGCGCAACAGTCTGGTGTTCAGATTGGTAGTTCTCAGGCATAGGCACTGTAGGGACATGACTTTGCACTTGCACCGACTGATGCATCTCCTGGATCGTCAGTTCTCCGAGGTATATTTCCAGTGTTTGGTTCTTGGGCCCGTGTTTTGTTTGATTCTGGTGCATCTCATTCCTTCATATCATCATCATTTGCACTTGCATCGGGGTTAGAAGTCAGTTTCATGGATCGGGCATTGTGTGTTGATACACCAGTTGGGATTTCAGTGTCTTTGAGGAGAATTGTGAGGGATTGCTCCATTGTGATAGCCGAGCGGGCTTTTATGTTTGACCCCATCCTCCTTGAGATGACTAGCTTTGACGTCATTCTCGGGATGGATTAGTTAGCTTCATTTCATGCTACGATTGATTGTTTCAGAGGTAAAGTCATAGTTTGCACTCCTGAGGAAGACTGTTTCTTTTTCGTGGGAGATCGGAGTGATTCCCACATTTTATCGTTTTTATGGAGTTCGTGGACAGAGTCATGGTGATTACTTCTTAGCTAGTCTTTTAGCCAAAGAGGATAGTGTTGCAGAAGAGGTTTATTCAGTAGTTGTTCGTGATTTTCTGGATGTATTTCCGAAGGATTTGACAGAGTTGCCTCCACACCGAAAAATGGAGTTTACTTTGATTTGATGCCCGGTACTGCGCCGATTTCTATGGCACCGTATCGTATGGCACCAATTGAATTGGAAGAATTAAAAAGGTAGCTTGATGATTTGAGGATGAAAGGTTTCATCCGACCGAGTGTGTCACCGTAGGGCGCACCAGCCTTGTTTGCTAAGAAGAAAGATGGTTCTTTAAGGTTGTGCATTGATTACCGGAACTTGAATCATGCCACCATCAAGAACAAGTATCCCTTGCCAAGGATAGATGATTTATTTGATCAGTTGAGGGGAGCCAGTTGTTTCTCGAAGATTGACTTGAGGTCAGGATACTATCAGTTTTGGGTTAGGGATGAGGATATCCCGAAGACAGCGTTCCGTACACGGTATGGACACTATGAGTTCCTTGTTATGCCTTTCGGCTTAACGAATGCGCCAGCAGCATTCATGGACTTGATGAACCGCGTCTTTCACGATTACTTGGACCAGTTTGTGGTAGTTTTCATGGACGACATTCTTGTGTACTCACGGACTCGGGAGGAGCATGAGGTCCGTTTGAGTATTGTTTTATAGATTTTGCGAGAGCACCGATTGTATGCCAAATATGAGAAATGTGAGTTTTGGCTACAGGAGGTGAAGTTTTTGGGGCATGTTGTCTCGGAAGGTAGAGTGTCAGTGGATCCATCGAAGATAGAAGCAGTTCTGAATTGGGAGTAACCCAAGAATGTGTTTGAGATCCACAATTTTCTTGGTTTAGCAAGTTACTACCGAAGATTTGTGAAGGATTTTTCTCGCTTGGCAGTGCCTATGACCCGTTTGACCCGAAAAGGGATTAAGTTTGCATGGAATGAAGCTTGTGAGTCATCTTTTCAGGAGTTGAAGACAAGATTGACTACGGCTTCAGTGTTGGTGATACCTGAGCGTAGCTTGGGTTATGTGATCTATTGTGACGTTTCACTTGATGGTTTGGGATGTATGTTAATGCAGAATGGTAGAGTAGTGGCTTATAGGTCTCGACAGTTGAAGACTCACGAGCTTAACTACCCTACTCATGATTTAGAATTAGCGGTAGTTGTATTTGCCTTTAAGTGTTGGAGACACTACAACATATTAGGGTTTGACCAGCGCTTTTAAAAAAAGCGCTGGTGTTGAGTACTAATTACCAGCGCTTCTCTAGAAAAGCGCTGGTATTGAGTATTAATTACCAGCGCTTCATTAAAAAGTGCTGGTATTGGGGTAACACACCAGCGCTTTTTAAAAAAACGCTGGTATAGGGGTAATAGTACCAGCGCTTAAGAAAAAAGCACTGGTATTGAGGTAACGTACCAGCGCTTGAAAGAAAAGCACTGGTATTAGAGTAACAGTAATAGTACCAGTGCTTAAAGTAGAAGCGCTGGTATTGGGGTAATAGTACCAGCGCTTAAAAGTAAAGCGCTGGTATTGGAGGAAGGTATTGGAGTACTAGTACCAACGCTTAGAAGAAAAGCGCTGGTATTGCCCTTCCCTCCAATTTTTTCTTTTCCCCCTTCCCTCCAATTTTTTCTCTTCCCTCCACTTTTTCCCTCCCCTTATTCCCTCCCCTTATTTATATATATTTCGTGCCTGAACTACGTCGTTTTTCGGGTCCACTATTACAGATTATTCCACTTTCCCTTTTCATTCAATTTCATTTTGGCTACTTCATCCGCCGCCCTCTCTGCTCTATCTCTATCTCGATCTCTCAGCTGCAAGACACTGCTCTTTCTCGATCCATTTAGCAAGACCTTGATTGATGTTTGCCCCCATCATCATCTGATAAAGCCCTTTGACACACACACAATTAGACGATCAACATAAACCCTCACACACACAATCAGACGATCAAACATAAACCCTAGCGCACACAATCAGACGATTCTTGACCAAGGAGAAAAACCGTGTCTCGCCGCCGATTCTCCTCTTCCGGTTTTCTTCTCCGGTCGATTCTCTGGCCGAAGTTCGGTCTCTCTCTCTCTCGGATTCTCCTCTTTTTCCTCTCTTCTCCCTCGGGTAAGTCGTCTCCCTCTTCTCATCCTATATATTTATATATATAAATATATGAGTTCATGTTTGAAAATCAAAAATTGAAGGAGGTTTTGATACATGTTGATTTGGGGATTTTGGATTTTCATGAGGAAATTTGGGATTTCATTGTGACGTACATATATGGCTTTGTGTTCAATTCTTTTGGAAAAATTGTGACTATGCTTGCATGTATTTCGAATTCAAATTTATTTTGGGGCTGTGACTGTGATAACTGTAATGCCAATATATGTTTGTTTTGTATGTTGAGATTTTGAAAACCCCGTTTTGATATGCATATATGGTCTGTATTTCCAATTTTCATTGGGCTGTGAATCTGTGAATCCAATTTTACTAGCTTCAAATGATGGGTCCATTGCAATAGCAGAAAAACGGACGAAGGGAAGGTTTGATTTAGCAGCAAAAAATGACTGTAATGATATTATAACAGGAGATTTTCAAGTTACTGTTAAACATATAAAAAAAGAAATACCCATACCAGAGGAAGGCCTAGCCCTTAGTACAGCATTGTAAAATCAGAATAAGGGAATTCATTCTCATAAAATACTATAGACCTTACCAGTAGAGAAACAGAGCAGATATTGATTAGAAAATGTAAGGTGTACCTTCCAAGAAGTGGTAGTCATGTAGAGAAACCGAGTAGTCATTCCCCTCTCAATTCATTCAGATTGCATGGAGGATTTGTTGGGCATATAAAATATGAAACTGAGTGCAAATGGCACCTTTGAGTAATAGGTTACATTGAATTCATCACTTATATGATTCGACCCTTTGGATGAGCCAAGATCATGTTAGAAAAACTTTTCAAGGCGCAGAGTTTCACTGAAATTCTTTTGGCATTTAAAGGCCTCTGTCTAAGACTTCAATGTGGATCAGAAAAGGAAGTACATGTAACTGATTTTAGGTGACCATTACAAACATAAACTAGCTGCTGTTTGGAAATTAAAAATTGTGCCACCAGAAACTGAAGTCGCTTAAATTCACGTTTTGCATATTAAAGAAAATGCTGCTTCACATGCTGGTACATTTTCTGAGGGTAAGATGAACTTGAATTTCTAGCAAAATTTCGGATAGTCCCATTCATGTGGCTTCCATAAGAAAAGATTAACTCCCTGCAAGTTCAAGCATTCCACCCACAACACATTGTTGATGGATGGTTGGGACATTGTTGCTGGTGTCCATGTTTTTGGCTTTATGTTTCTGTTTTTGCTGGTGTCCATGTTCTTGCCAGAATTAAAAAATAAAATAATAATAATAATAATAAAATGGTCTACTAAAGATATAATGGAGATGCTTATGAAAACCCAAGTTGGTAATCAAAGCTTTAGATCAGTGTTAGACCTGCATTAATTTAGACCATGGTGATACTTGTTGATATTGATTTTTTCCACTTAACGAGAGAACTAACAAGATACAAATGAATTCTAAACTTGTATGAAACAGGATTGGAAAATAGGATTTACTTAATTGACTTAGTTGAGAAATGTTTGTTAAGTTGAGTAAATGTCTTCTCTATATTCACTAAATATATAACTTTAAAAGCAAAATTTAGCAAATGTTAAATGTATCTTTTATTTAATATAGAATTCTATTTGAGCTCCAAGATAATCTTCAGAGACCTTTTCTTTTTTAGGGGTTAAAATAGACTGAGTGTATCAAACTCTTGTAATGCAATTATCCACCTCTAGATACCAAATTAATCAAGGTCTATTGTAGAAATTTCTAGAATAATGGTCCAGAAAATTGATTTCTTTTTGCAAAAATGTTTACTTTTTTTTTTTTTAACGTATTTTTGTCCTCCATTGTACTTGATGGAATTACTTGATTAATGTTTGCTAACCCGTCTCTCTTTCGGCATTATCTCATCTGAGATTACAAAGTTGAAGCCCTAGGCTTCAACTTTGTTTTACTTGGTCTCTCTTTCGGCATTACTTTTTTTTTAATGTTTTTTTTTTTCTTTTATGAAATGAATTTTTGGTTTGAATTTTTTTTTTTTTCTTTTATTTCCAAACGAATTTTTCGTACTTAGTATATATATATATATATATATATAGTTGATCTTTTACTGTACATAAGATTTTTTATAATACAGACTTTGGTTAGGATTGTTTTAGTTTCTCTCTGCAAGACTATTTTGATGTTTGGTTGCTTTGGTTAGGATTGCTTTTTATATCTATATTCATATTTATATTAACATTGATGTTCGACTTAACAATTGAGTTTAGAAAAATAATTCAAAACTACAGAACGGTCTAATTTTAATTAGAATGGTTTTATATAATTTCCATTGGACAACCATAAATACCCTAAAGTTTTGAGGTATTTGTTATTTCTTTTTATTGGTTTTTCCTGGACCGCCTTTTTTTAACAATTTGATTTGCATTCTTTTAACTGAATTCTCACTTTTTTGTTTGCTTTTCTAGGAAGGATAAATAATAAATGCATCCAGAGAAATTATTCTGCTAACAATTTTACTTGCTTTTTCTTCTATTGCATTATAGATATCTTATACTAATTATTTTCTACTGAATCAAGAAGCACATTTGGTTTCTACATTTTTGCCCATTTAAGGACAGAAAATGCTTAGGAAACTACAAATGATAACGCAGGGAAAAAGTAAAATATAATATTAGGTGCAAAAACTTTTGCCTAGTGAATCTAATTAAATAAAAGACATAGAATTATGTGTCCTATAATAATAATTACACAACAAGTCTTTTGTCCAATTACCTATATAAGATTCTTCAATTAGATGGGACATTCAAATTTAGACATAAACAACAGTAGTCATAAGTTGGCAATTTCTTTAATCATATTATATACTTTAGCACAGTGTCTGGTACCTCAAAAGACTACTAATTTGATTTTTCCTCTTCTATAACGACTCGATTACATTTTTTGTTAAGTATATACTTTAGCACAATGTATTAAAAGAACTACTAATTTGATAAAAATTTGTTTTTTTTTTTTCTCTATTTACTTCATTTAAATCCTTTTGTTTTTGTCATGAAAGCTTAGGTATATATATATTATACATGCACATGTATATTTAAGCATTACATGTTCACAGCTTGTTGGGATTTCAGTTCTTTTGTGCTTTATTTAGAATCTAGGGTTTTCAGTTCTGGATGTTTCATGGTAGTATGTTATGGTAGTTCAAACTTTTTTTTTTTTTTTTTTTGGCAGGAAAACATAAGAGAACTTCAAAAAAGTTACTCTGACTCGCCTATTGGCAGCTCCAATGATTCTCCATTGTGAGGGGAGAAGAGAGAACTGGTCGTGTGCGGATGCTTGGCTTCGGACCTACACCAAGCGATGTTTGGGGGCCCTCTCCTAGTAAAGCTGAATTAATTAATAATGCTAAAAAATCTCAGGAGGAGGCACGTGCAACACGTGTAGAGTTGCAGGAGACGATTTCAAAAATGCAAGCCGACTATGACAACAAGTTGGAAAATTTACGAGCCAACTACGACGACAAGTTGGATAATTTACAACAACAGGTGGCTATGCTAATGCAGACGCAACAACAAAATTGTAGTATACAGGTATATTTATTATTAGTTTTACTCTTTACTAAATATATGTTTACTTATGCCAAGATTTCATATATTTTGTTTTGTTATTTTGAAGGATTCTGATTCTTTAAATGCTCCTCCTAGAGTATCCCCAAATCCATTTTCTAGTCGTGATGCCAATTCAGTTAAGGTTATGAATTTTTAATTTCTCTTATATATATGTTAAATTTTCATTTATTATAATGTGCACTTAATGAATTTGTAAAAAATGTAGGGTAATTCAAATCAAATGGGCAAGAAGACTTGTTGAAGTTGAAGTTGAAGATGGGGTCGTGGCTGTGCTTTTTGAATTTCCTTCGCCTTGGATGGGTTCTTTTTGAAAAACTTGTACTACATTTGTTAAAAATTCTTAATTCTTTTTGTGTGACATTTAGTACCCTTATCTAGACAATTTGGATGGTATTTTCATATAGGCAGGTTAACTTGTGGTTGTATTAGTATACATTTTTTACTAGCTTAACTTGTGATGGTATTAGTAGCCAATTTCGATGGTATTTTTCTTATTGACAGGGTTAACTTGTGGTTGTTTGTAAAAATAATTTGGATGGTATTTTTATATTGACTTGTGTTAGGATGCATTTAGTAATTGTGAGAAATTTTTTTTCAAAGTTATTAATGGGAAAAAAAAAAATGTAAATAATTTTACCAATACTCTTTTAAGAAGCGCTGTTATAAGGAAAAAAAAATATTTAAAAAAAAAATTTCAAATAACCTTTTACCAGCGCTTTTTTCCAAAAAGCGCTGGTAAAGACCTTATGCCAGCGCTTTTGGAAAAGCATTTCCAAAAAGCGCTGGTAAAGACCTTATGCCAGCGCTTTTGGAAAAGCATTGGTAAAGGCTCTTTACCGTTTCTCCAAAAGAGCTGGTGAAGGCCTACCGACAATGGATTTACCAGCGCTTTTGAAAAAGCGCTGGTAATTGAACTATGAGCGCTTTTTAAGGCTTTTACCAGCGCTGGTAAAAACCAAAACTATTGTAATGAGACATTACTTGCATGGTGAGAGATTCGAGGTGTTCTCGGATCATAAAAGTCTCAAGTACCTTTTCTCCCAAAAGGACTTGAACAACAGACAGAGACGTTGGGTTGAAAACTTGGAAGATTATAATTTTGACTTGCAGTATCATCCGGGCAAGGCAAATGTGGTAGTAGATGCCTTAAGACGAAAATCTCGTGGCACTTTGGCTAGTTTGGCTATTCGAAAATGGAAGATGCTTGAAGATCTGACAGAAATGGGATTGCAGTATTTTGATGACGATGCTTGCGGTGAGTCGACATTCTTATTTAGTCTTGTGGCTCAGCTAACTCTTGTTGTACGAGTGATTGAGTCACAGAGACAGGACTCGGATTTAGATGATATTCACGCTTTGATCTCCAGTGGTGAGACAGTGAAAGATTGGGCCTTGCATGCAGATAGGGATCTACAGTTTAAAGGTTTGTTGGTGGTTCCCACGGTTTGTCGTGAGGACGTCTTACGGGAGTTTCACACTTCCCGCTTTGCAGTTCATCTAGGTGGTACCAAGATGTATCACAATTTAAGACGTCAGTATTGGTGGAACGGGATGAAGAAAGATGTTACACAGTTTGTGACTAAGTGCCTTACCTGTCAGCAAGTGAAGGCCGAGCATCAGAGACCAGCTGGTTTGTTGCAACCATTACCTGTAGCGCAATGGAAATGGGAACATATTGCTATGGATTTTGTGACAGGTCTTCTAAGGTCACAGAGGGGCAATGAAGCTGTATGGGTCATCGTTGACAGATTGACCAAGACGGCTCACTTTTTACCTATTAAGACAACAGATGATGCAGAGAAGCTTGGTGTACTATATGTGAAGGAGATTGTAAGGTTCCAGTAACCATTGACTCAGATAGGGATGCCAAGTTTGCTTCGAAGTTCTAGGAAGGACTTTAAGCAGCGTTTGGGTCAGCGTTGCATCTTAGTACGGCATTCCATCCACAGACTGACGGCCAGTCGAAGCGTACCATCCAGATCTTGGAGGATATGCTTCGGGCATGTGTACTTGATTTGGGAGGTAGTTGCGAGGATCACCTTCCACTTATTGAGTTTGTTTACAACAACAGTTATCAGGCAAGTATCCAGATGGCTCCATTTGAGGTGTTGTATGATAGACCTTATAGGTCTCCTGTTTGTTGGACTAAGGTGGGTGAGACAGCTGCCTTAGGACCTGACATAGTACTCGAGACTACGGAGAAAATTAAATTGATCAGACAGAGGTTGCTCACAGCTCAGAGTCGACAGAAGAGCTATGCGGTGGGAGACCACGTTTTTCTACGAGTCTCTCCATGGAAGGGATTGATGAGATTCGGGAAAAGTGGCAAATTATCGCCACGATTCATTGGACCGTTTGAGATCTTGGACCGCGTAGGAGAAGTTGTCTACAGACTTGCTTTGCCACCACAGATGGACAAAGTCCATAATGTCTTTCATGTATCGATGCTACGAAAGTACGAGACGAATCCATCTCACATTTTGAGTTGGGTTGATGTGGACATTGATAAGGATGTTTCTTACGAGGAGGGACCAATTTAGATTCTTGACACACAGCAGAAGGTGTTGAGGAACAAGACGATACCAATGGTGAAAGTTCTTTGGACACACCACGGAGTTGAGGAGGCTACTTGGCAGCTCGAACAAGAGGTTCGCTCCAAGTACCCAGCTTTGTTTTCTTTCTCAGGTATGTCTTGATTTCGGGGACGAAATCTTTTTAAGTTGGGGAGAATGTAATGTTTATGTTTTTTATTTATATATATATATATATAAAGGTTGGGTGAGATTGTTTTTGTGTGGAGGGACCCACAACTGTTTTTAAGTGGTCATAAGACCACATTTTTTTTGCTCTCTGCTATCTCACTCTCTCTCCTCGCTGCCTACTTCTCTCTTCCTATCAGTTTTCTTTTTTTTCCTTTTTCCATTTTAAGGCGTCAATCCTTGATTCCTTCTTCAATACTTAGTATTTTTAAGTGCCATTTGCGGCTATTTGAAGCCCACGACGAGACCTACAAGTTGATATGAGCAATTCCTTGGTTGGTGCACCATAGGAAATTCGAAATCTTAGGGTTTGAGGTGAAAATTAGGGGTTTTGCATAAAAGTGAGGTAGGGGTCTTTAATTCTCACTTTATTGTGTTTTTGTGAGTCATTCTACCATAATTGTTGTCAAGCATGATCAATTTGATTTATTTGCCTCTTAAATGACTTGATTTTGTATATAAAGAATGTAATTATGTGAAATTGTTGAAATGTATGAAAAACATGCTTGATTATTAGATTCTCTATATTATTGTGTTGATAAAATTGTTAGAAATTATACATGAAAGTTTATAAAAATTTTCTTAGAATTATTGTAATTTTTTTATGTTATTGTGTTGACAAAATTGATAAAAATGATACATGGAAGCTTATGAAAATTTTCTTAGAATTATTGTAAAGTATGCTTAATAAGTTAATTTTTTCATGCTTATGATGCTTAATAATTTATTAAAAAGTTTATGTGGAAGTATGTTAATTGTGTGATAATAATTCTCTCTATTTTCATAGTGTTAAAAAGGCCTGTGATATGCATTCATAGCATAGGCATGAAAAATGATACAATGATTTGCTAAGAACGAAAAATGGGATTTTAGGGAAAATTTGATGAAACAGTTTTGAGAAAATCCGGTCGCCGTGGAGTTACCAAAAGGCCGGTGTGTTAATATAACCTGGAGGGAATTAGGGAGATTGCCCTAACGTGGTTGAGTTGTCTGGGCCCCAAATGACACTGCGGAGGTACTAAAGGTCAGGGATAGTAGCCAATCCTTCTCTCGTGTCGCTACGAAGTCATCAAAAGGCGGGTTATATTACCAATTTGTGAAGGGATAGAAGTTTCTAAAAATGGGGAGTGACATGCATGACATTGCATTCATGGCACGACATTCATTTGTTTTGAACTTGCAGATTTACATTGTATTTTCCTCGGTTTAGCATGACCCCTCACCCTATTGTCTTATTCATTATTTGGATTCACGGTGTCACAAGAGGTGCGTCTTAGGCACCACCTACTGAGCAATTTTGCTCACCCTATTATTTAATATTTTTCAGGGCTCGGAAAAAAAATGGTGGATGACAATCCCTCGCAAGCTTGAAGAAGCTTAGGAGTTGTATTTTGTTATCTTTTGTATTTTAGTCCATTTTTTTTCGTATAGTCTCAAAACTAAAATGTCGTGTATTCATTTTTGCAAGCTAAGGTCACGTATTATAAATCGTAACTCTTGTTGGTATTTTGAAAGAAAGCGAGACTATGTAAATGCTTAAGTTAAATGGAATGACGATGATGGGCTAACTTAGGGAGGTTGTTAATGTTGTGGTATTGAGAAATATATATATATATATATATATATATATATATATATATATATATTTTTTGTATTGTGTGGTGTAGTAGGTTAGATAGGTCTTGAAAAGTCATTGCATGGAGGTTGTTGTTGGATTATTTTTAGCAAAACTCATGTCGAATTTTAAAAAAAAAAAAATTTAGATGGTATTAGGATCGTTACACCCATTTTCGTCTTGATCGATTGATACAGTTCGATCGCCAATTCGGATTGCTATTACTCTGCGCTCATCGCCGGTTGGGTGCTTGAAGTTCTCCAGTTGGTCACTGGAACTTCAGTGTTTCTCGCCGGAATCAATGGAGTTTGAGGCTTTTCGGTCACCGTTCTGAAACTCACCGAATTGTAATGCAGCTCGCCAGATTGAACCGAAACTCACAGGAACCTGAAGCTTTTTCCGGTGGGCCTTTGTGTTTAGAGAAGAACGCTGACAACTTGAATGATGATGCTCTAGGTTGATCTCTCAGTTGGGTCGGACTGAAACACAGCTGAAGTTCACCGGAATGAGGGGGGTTGGGTCGGTCTTCAAGCTGATGGGAACTATTCTCGCCGGAGCTGTTGGGTTTTTTAGTATGAAGGGGTGAGCGGTGGTGGGTGGTGGCGGCGGTGGTGTTTGGTAGCCAGAAGAAAAGGTTAGAGAGAAGTGAACAGATGGCCCTAATATGTGGTTGGTATTGACTGAAGGGTAAATGGTCTTTTTATAATTTTAATATTTTATAATTAAAAGTAATAAAATATTGAAGTGTAATTTAGACTTTTCATACCTTTTTAGTGCATGTTTGGATCTCATTTATAAAATGGGGTGACATTTTTATACTTTGCAAAATTTTAAAAAAAATAAAAAAAATATTATCATCACGTTTATATGTTCTTATTCTGAGTTGAAATACTGTCAAATATGTACATACTATATAAGCGAGGAAAAAATGTTCAAGGAATCAAAGTTGAGATTGAAATTTGTTCAAAGAGAGACCCCTGCTTGGTCCAATTGTCATGCCAAAACGACCAAAGCTCACCATTACCAATCTTATGAAATATGAAGGGGCGAGTCATTGTATGATCTTGTGAGTTATTTTATATTTTTTATATTTTTTGAGAAAAGTGAAGGCACGAACAATTGATGAAATAAAGAATCGAACCTGCACCTTTAGCCACAAAAATCACTGGACTACGTATAGACAATTTAACCGTAAATATTCTACATAATTTGGTATTTTGTGCAGTGAACTTTGAGCTTTCTTATGTAGTTTTGAAGGATGTCCTAAATCTTTTTCATAAAACACTACCTTTCTCTAAGACATGAAATGTGAAGAATCAGACATGAATACTAATGTAAACTTGTAAATTGAGAAACTTTAAATTAAGGAATAACAACAATTAAATCTAATTATATTAGCTGCAGTTTTATCAGAACAATGGTCTGAAGACAATTTTATTTGTGAAAGTTAAAGGATTGCAATTTAGCATAACAAGCAAGTGCAGGGTAAGCAGTCAAAAGTATCATGATAGCAATGTAACAGATTAAAAGAAGACTGAGCAAGAGTCACTCTTTTTTAACTTCGCCAGCCATGTGTTTCGATGTCTAGCACAGTGGGCATTAACATCATCAATAACTTCCCAATAGTAGGGTGGTAGATAATGATCTATGCTGCAACTTGGAGAAAGCTCCCTGATCATGTTCAAGACTGCTTCATCATTGAAGGGCGTATCTTCTACAATTCCACACTGGCAAAGTTCCTGGACATCCTTCGGAGTTTGGATTAAAAACTGCATGAATCTAATATAGTGACTGAAAGACAACGATTGTGGTGATTCCATCCTCCCAGTGTACGACTCGTAATAAATTAAATTTTTAAAGATTTTCTCCGTCGTGTAAGAAAAAATCAGAGGTGGTATTTCCAGGACTTTGTTTCGAAATCTTATATTGAATGCTGAGTCAGTAAATTCAGGCTTTTTGAACTTGATTCCAGCCTGTTGTAGCTCTGTCACGCTGCTCATGGACTGCGTAGTAGCTCTCCTACCCCTAAAATATCCATGAACCACCATTCCACCCCTGAACGAATGACACAACATATAGTGTAGTAGATGTAGTAGATGTTGAATACCAAAATCTGGCTGACCATAATCATCCTCTGTAGTTCGGATATTTCTCTTATATAATCTATGTCTAAAAAACGAGAAGGCTAAGTCGACCAATTTTTCTTCTGGGGCAGGCTCTGTCAAACTGAATAAAGTGAGCAGGGTGGAAATGAGGTCAACTGGCATGTGATAATATATACCAGGGGAAAGTATGTCGAGATTACGTTGTCCCTGGAAATCATCACCTTCGCGCCTAAACAACTCAATTATAAAGAGCCCATCAACCACCATCATCTCTATGTGTGCATCTAAGCTGACTGGTTTTGCGTACCATGTAGGAAGACTTTCAAGTCTCATAGCCCTCACATACTTATCAACAGAGAACTGATTATTATCAGAGAGGAGTTTTTTCAAGTAGTGCAGTTTGATGTTTTCCATATATTTGAGCTCTTCTTTATCTCTATAGTTTGGACCAATGGATACAAACTTTGGTACATATGGTGACTCAGTTCCTTTGTCGAACCGAACATTAAAATCACTGGGTTTATTAGCTCATCGGGCAAAGAGGCCAGTTTTCTATCTAGAGAAACAGTGACTGGATCCACTTCCACCAAATCGATCTTCAAGACAAAAAAATACACAAATTTGAGTGTTCTTGAAGTAAACTATATCATCTAAACTAGAGGGGGGCGGGGGAAGTAATAGTAAGAACTTACCATCATTCAAAGAGGAAGAGAATAAGAATAGTAAGAAATCATTCAGAAACTTAAGAAAAGACTAAAAATTATAAGAAATTAATACATACCTCCATCTGCCTCTTACTCTAGCTCGAATGCAATCAATGGAATGTGAGGCTTAAATTTATCTGCAAAGAACAAACTCTTCAGATTTCGGTATGTTGAAGGTTATTCTTCTGTTAAGCAGATAATATATAGAAAATATATATACATGTACATAGAAAGGCTCAAAATGTAGTGGTCACATAATAGTAGGCATGCTTCGGAAACATTTTGTTGACATGAAAAAACTATTAAGATCATGTCATTGAAACTAAAAGAAATCTCGAATTGCAAGCTAAAACTGACATATAATTTATAATGACCAGTGAGATTTGAATTCTTCAGAAAAGCGTATAGCCATGAGTCCGATGAAACACAAATCAAGACCCTTCTAATGTATACAGGTGAGCAGAAGTGACCCATTGTTCTTTTTTTTTACCCTAGGTAAAGTGGACCTATTGTTGTTTTTACATGTGATCATTGAGTTGTTTTGGCGTTTGGTGGGGTACTCTTCTTTAGTGCTCACTGTTCTCCTTAAATCACACTTATAAAATTCAGAGAACCTTTGGACTTAATGAGGTTTCAGAACCTCTTCCTCCATAGTCGAGAAAAAAAAAAAAAGGTGGGGAGAGAGAGAGAGAGAGAGAGAGAGAGAGAGAGAAAGAAAATGGAAATTGCAGTAAAACCCTCACGTAAGTCCCCATAATAGCATTTTTCTATTGATCAACCTATCATCAACGACAATCCTCGGCTGTAGATTAAAAGGCAGTGGTCACATAATATGAGCCATGCTTTGGAAACATTTTTGCAACATGAAAACACTAGAAAGATTAAGTCATTAAAACAAAAATAAATCTCTAATTGCAAGCCAAAACAGACATAATTATAAAGATCAAAGTGTGTCTATGTTGTGCACCAGACCTGATCATCTCTTTTATAGTAGGTGTAAATAGCAATGTTTTTTTTTTCTTTTTTTTCCTGAAGTTTCTTTCTCCTAGCAATAAATAAAGGCTATTATTATTTATTCGACTCATCAACAGCTGATTACAGAATCAATTTCTATAGTTCTCCCAGCCTCGACAAGCAAGTTGTGTATTAATAATATATATATTAGCAAATGGGGCCTTAAATGTAACTATATACATACAAAATAAAGCAAAAAGAAATGAGCGATGTTTGACACTTAAGAAACTGATAGATAATGCATATGGGGTGAAAGCAACCATATATATGTCCAGACTGAAATAAGTCCCTAATCAACTCATCAATAGCTTAAGAACTATGATCTCGATCATCAAATCATGCAACTTCTTATTTTCAATTTATATTTTGTTAAATAAAAGGCCTTACAAATTCCTTTTTCATTTTATGATAAATTATACTCAAACAGAAAACAGCCCAGAAAAGACCAAAACGGCTTAAGAGCACAAAAGAACCTGTTAAGGTCGATATCAAAGGCGAAAGCCTTTACAGGATATTGCTCCATATATATAGTCCACAAGAGAAATGGTTTTTTCCCTATTAGACTACTCCAGACAAGTAGTACCTTACGAATTCATTATTAAAATTATAACTCAGCTTATTGCATTACACTGTACACACAGTAAAGAAAACTTTTAATGAGTTATAAACTAAAGGCCAGATCTTCTCGTCTACAGCACAGGTGTTGTACCAGCGGTGAATCCCAGCTCTATAAACTATAGTAGGATAACTCGAGCTAATAAAAATGGCAGTGTAGACAGCTTGCTAATCTATATAGGTGAGCAAAAGAGACCTATTGATGCTTTAACTTTTAACATGCTAATGTAGGATCCTTACTATGGATTAAAATGCATTATGTGCTTTGGAAACATTTTTTGAAACATGAAAAGAAAATATAAAAGATCGAAATCACTAAAACTTAAAGAAAAATAAAAAATAAAAAATAAAAATTGTAGGTACAGAAAACAAAAGAAAACTGAATGACAAAAAAACACATTGATCTTAATGAGGTGTCAGAACGTCTTCTTCCATATTCACAAATAAATAAATAATGCAGTAAAACCCACAAGAAAACTCCACATTTCTCACCCTCAAAATGTTTCATTAAAAGAAGTAAAAAGACAAGACCAAAGACAAAGAAAACTAACTCTTGGGTCTTATGAAAGGGGTTTTGCAAGGCAACACTGTTAACGGCAAACACCGTAGAACTAGTGAGCTTGAAGAAGAGTTAGAGAGCCCTCTTTCGATTGGTAGATACCAATATCTATTACCATTTGTTTATACATAAGCGAATGGGGCCTTAAGTGTAATTATATATATATATATATATATATATATATATATATACACAAAATCATGCAACTTCTTATTTTCAATTCATTTTTTGTTATTTAAAATTGGATTAAAATTAAGGAGAAAAAGAACACCAGTACCAGAAAAACAGCAAAGGCTAGACTCACATCAAGAAGATTGAAGATAGAAGGTCTAGAAATCTAGGCAGCGTAGTACAGGTTGAATTTGGGGGAGAGAAAAACATCTTCCAAATGGGATCAAATTCCTCAAAGGCAACTAAGTCTAAGGGTAGTACAAAATTTTGAAAAGCTACTCTATTATACAATCATCCCAAGTAACTGCATCAGAGGACAGGAAAGAGTGATTAAAAAGAATAATAAATAGAGTTTAAACAAAAATAAATGCAACATGGCTCTGATCAAGGAATTTAAACAACAGCAGCTTCTCCGGCAGAAGAAATCCTTCTCCGACACAAACCCTCACATTGATTCAAGGCAGTGGATTGTGAATCCACCATGCGCGGGTTCAATTCCCGTCGTTCCCATAACATAGATAGGGTTTTTTTTAAGTGAACGTGTCACAGCTTACTCCTATTTTTTTTTTCTTTTGAAAAAAATGAAGAAATAAATTCCATTTTCTCTCCTATTTACTAGGGAGACGAAGAATCAAATTATCACTATATTTATTCCTTTTTCTACTTCCTTCCAAGTGCAGGATAACCCCAAAGGGTTGTGGGTTTTTTTCTACCTATTGGGGCCCTCCCTTCACCACCCCCATGGGGATGGTCTATAAGGTTTCATAACTACTCCTCTTACTACAGGACGCTTACCTAGCCAACGTTTAGATCTGGCTCTACCCAAACTTTTCTGGTTCACCGCAACATTTCCCACTTGTCCTGTCCAGGGTTAAGCCCTAGGATTTGACGAAGCCACCTACAGACGCTTTACACCCAATCATTCCGGATAACGCTTGCATCCTATGTGATGTGGATTATTCAAGAATTGAAGTCGATTTGCTTTATAAAAAGAAGATATCAATAAACATCTATGAAATGGTTTCACGGGATTCAACCAATTGTCTTGATCGTGGGATATCATTGAGAAATAGGAATCCATGTTATCAAAGGATTTGAAAGCCTTATATCTTGAAATTAATTCATCAAGTTGATGATAAAATCGGCCATTATGCACCTGTTACACAACAACCCCTTCGAGGAAGGGCCAAGCAAGGGGGATAGCAGGAGGAATCAATGAAAGGACATCAATTCAAATCCTTCTCCGACACAAACCCTCACACTCCTTACACTCTACAAAACCTTGCCTTACCACCATGGAATCCCATCCCATTTTCTCACTGACCATCAAACCATAAACCCTAAAAGCCATCCCACACTCTCATTTCAAACATGGCTCGTCATGAGAGTGTGGGATTTTGGAGGAGAGAGAGGGGCATATATGCATCATTCAGAATTTCATAGACAAAATTTCCATAGAATATTAAATAAAATAAAATTTTCATATGACAATTAAAAAGGAAATGGCCTGCAAACCTAGCTAGAAGTGATCACCATGCAGAAACCAGCACCAAGAAAAGTCTGCATTAACATGAGCAAAAGATCAGTTTTGATCAAGGTTGTTAAAATCGGGATTCTACGTAGGATCGTTGGGGACTCCGTAGAATTAGAATTGTAAAATCGTAAAATTCTACCAAACTAGTAGAAAAACGTTTCAAACTAATATATCTAAGATATAGCAAAGATAAGTCCAAAACACAAAACTTGTATAGAAGTACCAATCCAAATATAATGTATAAGGGAATGTACTGCTACTAATATATCCAAATAATTCAACTAAACAAGTTTCAAACTTTCAACATCAATTCAATTAGATATAAATTATATATATAAAAAAAAGAATTATTAATAACTCAGATGCTAGTGCTAATAACAATATGAATTACTGAATTATGAACATAAAGTTATAAACATTATACACTGACCAAAATTACCACATTGATATCCAAAAACATAAATAGAACATAAACAGAACAGATTAACTGAACAAGAAAAATACCCATGCTTATCAATTAGGAATATCTGAACAAGAAACAAAGAAACCAAAAAGAGGCCTGGTGTCGAAGACCAACTGAATTTGGAGACTTCAAATTCAGAATTTCATCTTTATCTTTACTGTTTTGGGCCCCATGATTGTTGGGCTTTCTTATTAAAAGAGCCCAACCCATCAAAACAGTGTCAGGGCCAAACAAGGCACACAATAAAATCGTATTCTACCATATTATACGATTCTACTATTCTATCCCAATTTTATCCAAAGAAACGATTTTCATGCGATTTAACTCGTTTCGTGGTCTAAGGATTGTAGAATCTACGACCTAGAATTACGATTCGAATAACTTTACAACAATAATATTTGGTTTTATGCTAGGGTTCCAAGATCTCTGTTTGTGTGTTTGTGTAAAATTAAAGGGACATTATTTTTCGAAAATTAAAATTAAAAGGACATTGAAGGTGAGTGTAGAGTGTAACTAAATTATACCTGTAGAGAGAATATGGTGGCAAAGCTCGGTTGTTGGCGGTGCTAGAGCATGGGGATGAAAGGACACAAAAGAGAGAGAAGAAAATGAGAGAGAGAGAAAGGATGGGGAGATATGAGAGAGATGATGGGGATTTGGGAAGAACAAAGAGTATTGTCAGTAATTTCTCTGTCAAATTCAGGTTTAGTTTGACTACTGCCAATAACACTGAAAAAGGACGAGGAAGGAGTTGTTGTTGATTGCTGCTATGTCCAACTTATTTTATGGGGTCACCCGTGTGATATATATAACTTAGTCCGTACCCATATATATACTGTATATAACTTTGCTGTGTGTATTATATCTATATCTATATCTATATCTATATCTATATCTATATCTACAGTATTTATTTATTAATATAAAATATATTTATTAATTAAAAAAAATATTACCTAATAAAATTTAAATTATTACAAATTACCAAATAAAATTCTAATTACATAAAAATTTATTTTTCAAATTAAAAGTGCATAGGAGTTTCACTGTTTCAGTATATCAATATTTATTTATTAATATAAAAAAAATATTTGTTAATTAAAAAAAATATTACCTAATAAAACTCAAATTACAAATTACCTAATAAAACTCAGATTACAAATTACCTAATAATTTTATAAAAAAAAATTTATAAAATTTAAATTACAAATTAACTAATAAAATTTAAATTACCTAATAAAATTCAAATTAGATATTACCTAATAAAATTCAAATTATTATTTTGGCCCGCAAAACAGTGTCAGCGCAACAATACAGTGCCTAACAAGGCACACAATAAAATTGTATACAATCAGTACTATACGAATTGTAAAGGCACACAATAAAATCGTATTCTACTATTTTATTCTATCCCAATTCTATTCCAATTCTATCCAAAGGAACTATTTTTAAGCGATTTAACTCCTTTTTGGGAGTCTAAGGATTGTAGAATCGTGCAATGTTGTAGCACTACATAGAATCGTGATTTGAACAACTTCTATATCAATCATATTTGGAATCAAGATCTCTGTTTGTGTGTGTGTAAAATTAAAGGGACATGAGTGTAGAGTGTAACTAAATTATACCTGTAGAGAGAATATGGTATAATTTAGTATTAAAATATTTCTTAATTAATAAAAAAATAAAATATAAATATTTCAGTATTAAAATAATAAAAAAAATTAATTAATAAAAAAATAAAATATAAATATTTCAGTATTAATATAAAAACCTAATTTTTTTTTTTATTAATTTACAAAAGTCAAACTCTAGCACCACTTTCAAATTAATTAATAAAATTCAAATTAAAATTAATAAAGATATCAGGAAACATATATATTCATAAAGTAAAAAATGAAAAGAAAAAAAAAATACACAAACAACCACTGAATTCATACGTCCACGCATATGTAATAGTAAGGTAAGCATAAAGTTATTGTAAGCAATAACTTTAAGGCATCAAGGATTTGTACGAGAGATGTTTTTTTCGGGAGTACCTTTTGATTTGGAGTAGTTGGCTTTTACTTTTTTTCTTTCTCAAAAGAGCCGAACAGAATTGACTGAAGAAAAGTTTTGTTTTTCTTTCTCAAAACAGCCGAACAGTACACTTTTTCTTCACCAGGCTCCGGGCGGCGGCCGAACAAAACCACCACCACGCCGGACTTTAGGTTAAAATATAGGGTTTTTTACTGTGCCGCTAAAGGGTGTCTGGTGAATATATGTTAATTTTTTTTGTCTCCTTTTCTTTCGTTCTTGCACCCTGTATTTATAAACCTTCTATACTTGCAAGACAAGACACTTGCCGGACAAGAAATGGAATTTTAAGAAAGTTTTCCATATTATAAATAGGGTTACTAAACCCCCCCTAAACTTTTGGCCCTATTGCAAGAAACCCCCTTAAATTATAAAAATTGCAAAAAAACACCCTGAACTTTCATTTTTGTTACAGTTTGCACAATCCGGTAGAATATTGCGGTCAAAAATACCATTTGCAGTCACGTGACACAAATTTTGAATATTTATGACCATAGTGCCCTTGAGAATATAAAAGGACAATAATGCCCTTCTGCAAACCCAAACACCACCTAAACCTAATTCCCCACAGCCCAAACACAGCCTTATGCTAGTCTAATCACTGTTCATCTTCTTCAACGCGAGCACAGTGCTCCAACTTCAAAACCCAAACATCTGAGGCTGGTCCGGTGGAAAACATGGCTCAAACACACACTTTGGGTGCATTTTCGGTGAAGAAACTAGCACGCCGCACATGGAGAATTCGTTGACGACATGTTCAATTTTTTTTTTTTTTTTCCTAACTCTGCTGTGAGCATTAACAAAATGAAGCGAGTATTGCATTGCATCTATAACGCATTGAATTCTCCAGAGTCAAGCACTAGAGCGACAAAGAGATTTGTTTGATATATAATAGGAAAGGCCGGAAGGCATACATATATAAATATATACACACACACACACACACGTATATGCATATATAGGATTCAGGGAATCTTCATTTATTGATTTTTGACTACCAGGTTTCCATTAAAAGCTTCGCATATCAAAACCAACATGGTAAGTCAAAAAGTCCCCAAATCTCTCTTGAATATATACATACCAAAAAATTCCCAATTCTGTAAAACCCTTATTTAAGAAAATTCCAAAATTGATTCCCCAAATCAAACTCACCCCTCTCAGAAGAAGATGAAAAGGTTGATTCGTACCAAGAGAGTGTGGATTTGGGGAGGTTCCAAGTGGATGATAAGAGATTGTGTACACAATAACAAATAAACACACTCATGTCCTCTTTTTGCACATCAGCCTTATCATTGAAATAGAAGATAATGATGACCTCTCAAAGGTGTTGCCCCTTTGTTATGTTTTTCTTCTATTTCATCTGCAATGGATGCCTCTAGTCTCTTCTCTCTCTCTCTCTAAGCTTTCCTCTTTCTGTGTATTTTTTGCTGCTTATGGTTTGGGTTGTGTTTGTGAACAACGTGTACAATGGGTTTTTTTTTTCTTCTTTTTAACCAAAAGGCAAAAGTAAGACTAGTCAAGGGTATAAGTTTAAAATGACGTCGTATTTTGTAAGGGTACACTTGTCTTTTTTGTTTTGCGGCGTTGAAAGCTGCCGTGGTTAAGTTAAATACAAGGAAAACATAGTTGAAGGGGTTTGTTTTAGTTTAGAGGGATTTTTTGCAATCAGGTTATAATTTAAGAGAATTTTTTACAATTAGCTTATAGCTTAGGGGATTTAATGCACTTAACCCCTATAAATATTTTATTCTTTTACTCAAAGTCCACAATCTATGGGCCGTCAATTGATTACTTGGTATAAATATAATATAATACTCCTTCCGTCCTAAAATAAGTGTCATACTTTTTTTTTTTATTCGTCCCAAAATAAGCGTTCACTTTTCTTTTTCAAACAATATATTTCACATCATTTCAAAAATATCTTTTGAGTTTAAATTTCAAATTTCAATATTTAAAACTTAAAAAGGCATCATAGTATTTCAAAGATGGGTCGCAAATATATATAAATATAAAGTTGTGCTATTTGGTCCCATAAATACAAAATTGATGCTTCACGTTAGAGTAAAAGTAAAACGTATAAACCAAAATATATAAGATACCTTTCAAATCAAAAAAATTTCAAAAATAAATTAACAAAAACAACTCCCTTTACTTACCAAAAAATAAATAAAAATTTTAAAAAAAGTTTCGCATATTATAAATATTTTATTCTAATGCCTTAACTAATTGATGCCACCCACCACGTTCTATGTAATCAGTTTATGGGCCATCAATGGATACTTGGTTTACCTCTTATATATATATATATATATATATATATATAGAGTTGTACTATTTAGCTCTTCTAATATAAAATTATACTTCACCAACTTCACATGGCAATAAAAGTAAGTCATTTAAACCAAAATATAAGATATCTTTCGAAACAAAATCTTTCCTAAAATAATTACCCAAAAATATTAAAATAATTACCCAAAAAAATATTTTCAAAAATAAATTAACAAAAATAACTCTTTTTACTTACTGAAAAGAAAAAATAAATAAACCAAATCACAAAAAAAGTAACAACTGAACATTTAACAAAACAATAAGTATAAAAAAAAAACACAAACAAATCAATAAAATAAGAATTTAAGTTCTTCAATCATCAAAATATTCCAGAGATGCCCTTGTTTTTTTTTTCCCCATGTACTATATTGTTAATATTTTATAAAATCCTTCATTTAGAAAAATATATATATATATTCCAAAGATATGCAAACCCGTTTGTGAAAAAAAAAAAAAAAAAAAAAAAAAAAAAAGATGGAAATAATTTGTTTTTCTATTATTCTAAATATATATATATATATATATATATATATGAAGAAAAAGGAGATGGAAAGGATCAGATATGGAATTTTCAAATAACCCGGTTATGGAAAGAATCGTAATTGAAAGGATTTTTTGAAATGAATTGTTTTTTAGTACTTTACAGAAAAAGAAAAAAATATATATTTGAGTTGAAAATTAAGAATAGCATAATCAGATTTTTATGTCAAAATTTGTATTCTGGTTGGAACATATAAATCTTTAAAGGGTAAAGGACAGTAACTCTCCTTGATGTTTGACAAAAGGACACTTGATGAAAGTTTATCTATTTTGGGACAATGACAGTTCTTGAAATTTGATACATTTACCAAAGACACTCCAATGATAATAAATTAATATTTTTACCTGTTGATTTTAAGAGTTTGTCAAGTATATTAGTATCTTTTAATGTTAATTAATTTTGTTAGAATGTCTCACGTTGGCTTTATACCCTTATTCCCTACTTATGTCGGAGATATTTGATCTCGAAAGTTGGTATGAGTTAAAAGTTTTATAGAATCTTACAATCCTAATTACTTCTCACCGGTAAAGAATCATGCCAAGCCTAATTAGTTATATACGTGGTATATATATTTTTATTATAATGGTTTAAAAAATTGTCATTAAAATTTCGACATACTATTTCGCTTCTATAATTCCCGTTAGAAATTATAAATATATGGATTGTTATAGTGAGATAAAGTATTTTGTAAAGAAATTGTTAAATTAGAGAAGATTTTAGAAGAATAGAGAGTAATTGATAGTACATATTTTGGTGAATTATAATACATCTAATCTTTCATTATCAAATAAGATGTCTATATATTAAACCTC